CAGCATTCTACCACACCATTAGTACCTCAGCCAAATATATTAGGCAAGCATATCCAATATGAGACTGTTGCTACATGTAGACCTAAGGAACAAAACAGAGCATGTTAAGAAGAGGAAGAGGAGGAGGAGGAGGAGGAGGAGGAGGAGTTTGGATTTGATATCCCGCTTTATCACTACCCGAAGGAGTCTCAAAGCGGCTAACATTCTCCTTTCCCTTCCTCCCCCACAACAAACACTCTGTGAGGTGAGTGAGGCTGAGAGACTTCAGAGAAGTGTGACTAGCCCAAGGTCACCCAGCAGCTGCATGTGGAGGAGCGGAGAGACGCGAACCCAGTTCCCCAGATTATGAGTCTATCGCTCTTTTAACCACTACACCACACTGGCTCTTAACATTTTCATAACTAAATTTAATTATGATCAACTGGAATTTCCCCATCAACTCCAAAGGGTGTTGGGTCATATTTTCTCTCTCTCTTTCCTCAAAAGACAAAAATAAATAAATACAGCTGTGGGAATTATTAGGTCACAGTATAGATAAATCACATTTCTCATGCCATCACATCTGCCAACAGAGTCCCTTGGCATCCTCACCTCTGTTCAAGAAAACAACAGAAAATGAACATGTACAAGCAGCAATAATTCATCTAACATGTAGAATTTTGGTTTTATCAGCACAGAGAGTTATGATATTTACATGCATTCAAGCTGACAGACTTTTAGGATCTAGGATGGGGAAAAATGATTCTGAGGAGACAAGACGTGTAGGAAAGATTATAGCTGTCTCAATCCTATCCATGTCAACTCACTGAGTTCAGCTAAGCTTACTCCAGGTAAAAGGATGCAGGAGTGCAGCCTTAGGCACAGCCTCATTTTTATTTATTATTTTGCATCCTTCAGCAACCAGACATCTGATTTCCCCCCCCCCAGCTCTACTCTGAAGATAGCATGACTGAACACTTATGGGGAAGTCCAAGAGACTGTGGGGAGATTTGAGGGGTTCAGACCACAATACTTTTGAACTCAAGCAGTGCAGCACAATAAGACATTTATCTATAATGTGCAGAAAGTCTGATACACTAGATACACTGAATGGGTAACTAATTAATAAATTTTTCTACTTCCAATAAGGTTTGTTTTAAGATGAAAACATCTATAAATTTGTATTGTAGCATTATTATTACTTAAACCCTATTTTCTAACAGATTAATAAATTACGCTTCACTTTTATTAAGTATACAAACTATATTACTGTGCCTCAATGTGCAAGGTTTAGGAAATATATTAATGGAGGATTTAAGCCATTAAATAATTTTTGATGAATTTCAATAGGGAAAAATGTAAGGTTCTACACTTAGACATGAACCAGTTGCACAAATACAAGATGGGGGACACCTGAATTGCCATGTGAAAAGGATATAAGGATCCTAGAAAACCACGAGCTTAACATGCTTTAACAGTGCGAAGCAGCAGCAAAAAAAGCTAATGCTATTTTAAGCTGCATTTAGTGTCCCGATCAAGGGAAGTAATACTCTTACTCTATTGTGCCTTGGGAGTTACTGTGTACAGTTATGGCCATCACAATTTAAGGAGGAAATTGACATGCTGGAATGTGTGTAGATGTGGCTGACCAATATTATAAAGGGTCTGGAAACCAAGCCTTAGGAGGAATGGTTGAGGGAACTGGGTATGTTTAGCCTGGTAAAAAGAAGACTAGGAAGAGATATGATAGCCATCTTCAAATATCTTAAGGACTGTCAAATGGAAGATTGAACAAGCTTGTTTTCTCCTGCTCTGGAGGGTAGGACTCAAACCAATGGGTTCAAGTTACAAGAAAGGAGATTCCAACTAAACAAGACGATTAACTTTCTGGCAGTAAGAGCTGCTCAACAGTGAAACGGACTTCCTTGGGAGGTTGTGGACTCTCCTTCCTTGGTGGTTTTTAGGTAGAGGTTAGATGGCAATCTGTCATGTATGATCTAGTTGAGATTCAAGCATTGCAGGGGGTTGGACTAAATCACTCTTGGATTCCTTTCCAACTCTACAATTCTATGAATTTTTAATCTCTACCGCTCTCCCCACTAAAAAACATATAGGTCCTGATACAGCCTTCCATGAGCAATCAGAACACCTGTGGACCTTTGTGATAAATTTGCATATACAAGGAATACAGAATCAGACCAATAAGCTACTGTTTAAGTTACGGCACACAATTCAAAGAGTCCTCACCATTAAAGCATAATCACAGCATGCCAAAATGAACCATCCTTTCAAAATCACGAACACTTTGGAGCACTCTACCAACTTCACATTTTGGGATGCTTATATACCTCTGATTTGCAGTGGATAAGTTTAAGCAAACTTGAGGCTAAATACAGAAGTCAGTCAATACCACAAAGTTATTTTCTACTTCAACACTAAAAGCCAGTGTTCCCACTCATTGTGTTCTGTGCAATGTTCCTCTCACAGAGCATAATAAACCTTTTGGCCATCCTTGCCTAGGAAAACACAAGTATACCTCATTATCTTTTATCGAGAGTATGCTTGCTCTCCCTGCATTGTTTACTGTCATTTCATGCTGTGCTATATTTGAATTCCACTGTGGAATGAACCCATCTCACCGCTCTTTTCCATTCTGTATAAAATTATCATTTATATTAGCAAAAAAAGTGACAGCATGCTACACTGGACGTGGGAATTTTAATGCCCAGATTTAACATTCTGGCTTTGCCATATTTAGCATGAAGTGTGCTACATTCTGAAGTAGCTTTAGGTATGGTGCCACTGTGGCATTACTACCCAGCAACAGAGGGAATAGAAATTTAATAAATAATAACAACAATATATGACCTTTTAAACTATGTGCGGGGTGAGAAGCTTATTGTTTTTGTTTGTTACTATGCTATATATTTTTGTGTTTTTATACTGTAAACCACCCTATGATTGGATGAAGGGCAGTATAAAAATTCAGTATAAAATGTCAATGTAATGTTGACATGCCAAGTTTGCTGGTGTGGCCAATTCCCACCCCCTAGCCATACATACAGACACATGTCATTTCCAATAGCACAAAACCACCAGACAACAGCTGTAGGTGCCTTTCAGTGACCTCAGGTTCCCTATGGACTTCCTAGCCACATATTTGTGTGTTTGTGCTTTAGGGAAATTCAAACTCTGGCTGAGCTGCTGAATTTCTGAAGCCACCCTGAGTCTCTTCCAGAAGCGCAAAGAAGTGCTCTTCCTGAAGAGCAAAGAAAAGCTTGAAGTGCACACCGTAGGGGACACACGCACCAGGCCCCTTTGTTCCTGCACATACCTCCAATGCAAATGCAGGCTGGGTATAAATGCAGCAGATGAATGATAGTCCCCTGCAACACACACACACCTCCCATCTCTCACTACAATCTCAGGGAAGCATCACATAATCCACCAGCCCAAAGGGAAGGCAGGGTGGGCAAAAGAAGGCCAACAAGTGTTCCTTCTGCTGGGTGACACAGAAAAAAAAAGGCATTGCAGCCATCCCTCAGGGCCATGAAGATACTTGGCGGAGTATCTTTACTGGCAAAAGCTGCATCCCTCCCTCGGAAATTGGGCTGGGAACATCACCACCAGCTTGTTGGCACTGGGAGGTGGGGGGAGGGAAGAGAAGAGGAGAAAAAAGACTTTTCTTTCATGGAAGACCAATAATAGCTGTCCACAAAGACAAAGGCTAGAAGCAAACAGCAGTGCACGTTAGGAACCAGAGCCTGAAAAAGCCAGGAAGAGAGGCAAGGGGGCTCCCTCATCCCACCGAAACACTTTGATATATCCCAGTAATAATGTTTACTATATTCCCTCAAGAAAAGATAGCAAGGTGGCAGACTCTGCTCAGGGGGACGCACAAGGCAGGGGAGCGAAACTCGAGCCTGCCGCCCAACCGCCCCAAAAACCGTCACACCAAGGGAAAATGCCCCTTAGTAGGAGGCAGACGAAAAGGGCTGGAGCATCTGCTTGGCGTACAGAATGTCCCAGGTTCGATCCCCGGCATCCCCAAGCAGCGAGAGGCGCTGCACGTCAATGGGGACCGACCTGGCCCAATGGCCTGACTCCCGCGTAAGGCAGCTTCCCAGGTTCCTATTTCTCCACACAGCCAACCTGGAAAGTAGACGCAGGTGTGGCAACCTGTTCCCCATATCTCGTGGCCAGGAAGAACGGCGAGAAGCAATTACTGTCCTAATGATAGGGAAAAGCCCCCCCCCCTTGTTGGTCTTACCCGCCTGACAAAAGCCGAGGAGAGAAAAGGGACCGGATAACACACCCTCGTCGTCCACACTGACAGGGAGGGAGAGGGAGATACCCGAGCAGGGAAGTGACTGTGCACCGGACGCGGCCACCACGCGGGACGCGCTGGAGAGCAGGAAGCAGAAGCCACCTAGTAGTCCCTTATCCATTCCTCCGCCGAGAGAGGAGCGCCCTGGCAGAGCTGCTCTGCCTCCAGAAGGCAAGCGAGGGCGAAGCAGCATTTTAACCGCGCTCTCCACCCGCAGGCAGGCAAGCAAAGGAGCAGACAGGCAAGCAAGGGCAGGCAGGCAAGCAAGGAGCAGACCTACCCCTCTGCCCGCCTCTGCTCCGGCACACGAGGGGGAATAGTACGCTCTTTCTTCCGCCGCTCTCCACCCCCCTCCGCGTAAATGCGGGCGAGGAAAGGCGAACTGCTTCCATCCTGACCACACAGAGAGAGGTGGGGGCGGCGGGAGAGAGGAGAGGAGCAGCACGTTTAACTACGGCGGAGTAAGGAGGGAGGGGAGACGGAGCCACTGCACTCCGCTCCCCCCCCGCCCCCCCGTAGTCCTTCCCCGGCGCCCGGCAACGCCGCTGCACACCCCGCCGGGCCCTCGCGGCGCTGCGAGAAGCCGCGTTTCCAAGCGAGCTTCCCGGTGCTGCTCTCGGGTTACACGGGGGCAGAGCAGAGTGGAGCAGAGAGAGAGACAGAGAGAGACAAGCCCCGCAACCCCGTCGCTTACCAGCTTCGCCGGCGAGTCGCCCCGCCGCCCTCCTCGCCCATCCTACTCTCCCGAGCGCGGCCGGGGCTTGGCCCCCCCGCCGGACTGGCGGGGAGGCCGGACCTGGAGCAACGCAGTAGTGGCGTCGGAGGCGGCGGCGCTCGGCGCTCGGCTTCTTCCAAGGGCCAGGCTGGCCACTGCAGCGCCCGAACCCCGCGCGGAGCGGCCCGTGCTCGGCGGCTCCGTGTGCGCCGGCTCCTGCGGCAGGGTCAAGGAGCCCGGGCCGAGCAGGGAGCGTCTACGAGCCTCCCGCCCGGCCGGGAGCATGTATAGCAGCCTCGCCTCGCCGGAGAGCCAGGGAGCGTCTGCAAAGTGCCCACCCTGGCGGCGAGCGCGCGCAAACGAAAACAACAAGGGGCGGGGGGGCGGGGGAGAGAGAGAGAGAGCCGCCTGCCGCGAAAGAAAGGGAGCGTCTCCAAAGTGCCACACTCGTATCCACCGGCCTGGGAGAAAGACCGCAGCAAATCAGGACTCGTGAGAGAGAGAGGCTCTTGGCAGGCTTCCGCGGAGGCGCATGACACCGTGTGAGCGTTTGGCTGCCGCCTTGTTGTCGTTTTAATGCGCCGAGCGGCAGTACGTCCCACATTGCTCCAGAAAGTCCTCAGCAGGAAGGGGTTAAATCCTTTATCTCTGTGTGTAAAACAACACTGCATGAGCAGGAAGCATCTGCAGCTTCCCGGGTCCCGTTGCCCAGGAAAACCTCCCCACAAAACCCTCTCCGTTTACGGTTGCAAAAGTCCCCGCCTAGCCGACGAGACGGCCGGGCATCATTGACACATAATACGGTTAGATAAACCTAAAACTTCCCGCTCTCGCTCCCCTCCTTTTTTTTAAAGCACAGACATTCATAGATTTCCCGTCTGCTGGCCACGGCCCCAAAGCGGCTAGAGGCAACCCAATGGACTGCTCTGCAGTGCAGGGTTTCGTACCTTAATAGGTACCAAGGCATAAACTTCAAATGATGCATGCACGAAGATTACGTGCACAATGCACGGCAGTGGAAAACACATAACCACAATGACAGATAGGAGCTTTCTGAGTAAATACCCATTACAGAACGAGAAGTGGGAAGTTTGGTGAGAGCCTGATTTAGAACCAGCGACGACCCTGTATTGCAGCTCCCCACGCATTAAAGGCTCACACGCCTGGCAGCTGTTAACACGTGGTGGATGAGCGTCCGGCTCAAATATCACATTTCCATACCACTTCAACAAGCAAATACCAACCCCTAAATGCAATGCTTTCCAATTCAGTCAGTTGACACAATCAGCTGCCAGCCATCATGTACTGAATAACTGTGGTACAAATGGCCACCCCCAAAACTTTTTTGAAGAATGCCTGGGGGTGTTTCAGATGGTCATGCATTGCAAGCATTGTTCACAAGGGATATATAGACCCTCCCATGTGTAGTGCAAGGGGGAATCCTGACCAATTAGAATCAGTGGTTGGAAGGGACCCTGATGATCATCTGGCCCAATCCCCTGCGATGCAGACCCCATCCTCCTGTCACTGGTGTCACTGCGGTTCACTTGGTGGCGGCAATGGTGGCTGGTTCCATTGCAAGGAGACCAGCAGCAGGTGGAGCCAGAGCTAATGACAGGCAACACCCATCAATTCTAGTTTTGCCCCTCCCCTTCCCCTTCCCTGCTGAGCTCTGGATTGACTAAGGAAGAGGAAGGTGGCAGCTAGAGCAAGGAGGTGGAGGCTGCCTGAAATTAGACTGAGGTTGGTGGGAGGGGCAGAGACAAAGTGAATCAGGATGCGGCAGGGGCATCATGGCAGGGGCTTCATGGTGTGAAGACCCCTTCACACCATGTCTTGGTCCAGATATGGCTCAATCAGTCATGCCAAGCCAAACTACATGACAAATGTCACACCTAGTTTGACTCTTACAGCAGAGTAACCCTTCAGATGTTGTCAGACTACAGCTACCATAAATTTCTGATCATTGGTCTTGCTGGCTGTGAATCATGACAGCTGTAGCCCACCAACATCTAGAGGGCACCATGTTGCCCATTCCTGCTGCAGAAGAAAATAAGGACAATGGAGAGAAAGAGAAGCGAGATCTTAATGATGTGGAAAGAGGAGAAAACAAGCTTCTTGGCATCTCTAGCACCCTACGCATCAGTTGCTAGGTCCTATTTTTGGGGTGTCAATGTCAGCTTTGTGTTAGGGTTGCACCTTGTGATATATACTTTAAAAGTTATTAACAGCCAACATTAGTCATATTCAGAGTAGACAAACTGATTTAAGTGAGTCTACTCCCAGTATGACTAATGTTGGCTATATATACTGTTCTTTAAGCCATCAATTAAAATAGTCTCCATTTTGTCAAAGTGGTCTGAAATACAGCCATCAAGAAAGCAGATCAAGCAAGAATAAGTTCAGTGTCATTTATATGGAAGAGTCCTATTAACATATATGAATCTTATCCTCTCCCGATGGAATTTATAACCTTTTCTGTTAGAGTGTTTGCCAGCTGTTAATAGTGCTTGCAGTCATATTTGTGCAGTTAGGTGCACAGGAGCCCTCTGAAATCAATGAATCTAACTCTGCATTGGGCTTGTCTGATAAAAGACAGTTTAAAACAATCAATGGCTTAGACGAAAAGGGTGGCTAGCGTATAAATGAGACATCACTCTTACTATCTGGCAGCCTGAGATTTCAAAATAATACCTTTCTGTATCGATTGCCCAACGATTAAAATGTAAGATGTGTGTTTCATCATATTTCCGTTATAGATTTGCCACATTCCTCTATGAATACTATATGGTGATACTCCAAGACATAAATTTCAATGTTAAAGATGTTATAGGCCTGTCACTAACTGTAAGACACTGTTACCCAGACCTATATATTGATACTGTAGAGTATGATCAGAGCATGTAAGTTTGATCAGACCTTTACAGACAGGGGCCTGTAAGCTAAACTGCTAGTGATTTCACAGCAAAAAAAGAAAATATTCTCAAGATTCTATCTTCGGCCTTATTTAATGGGGATCACTGAAATTAGAGGGTATGTTTAACTTAGTTCTGACGGAAGACTAGAGCAGGTGACATTTTAATTTACCATCAGAGCATGCTAATTGCTGGGCTTTTAACATATCACCATGTGTGCTTTTATTTTCTCTCGTCTTTTACTTTCATTTATCCTTTCTTATTACATTTCATCTTTATTTACCCAAGCACCATATTTTGCCCAAATTAAATGCCCATAGCACACAACCTTACATAGGTTTATACACCCCACAGCATGCCAAATCACATTTTTATTTTTAAATACAGTACATATTTGAGCAATGAGTTCACTATAAGCACATTCTATTTGGGCTTTTAAAAGAGGGGCACTGTCATATGCACTTGTCACTTCCACTACCTGGAAGGGTTTTTGGTTTTTTTAAGGCGTGTATTTATTTATTTGGTCTCTTTACTTTATTTCCTTTTTTATTTTATTAGCTTTATATAATTATTACAAAATCAAAATCAATCAACAAAGTGTTACAATTACATACATATATCTAAAATTCTCCATAGTGCTGTTAATAAAAAAAGAAAAACATAGAAGAGAAAATAATAAGAATGAAAAAGAAGAAAGAATAAGAAAAAGAAAGAAAAATTAGAAAAAGAAAGAGAAGAAAGTAGGAAGAATTTCTTCCAATTTTTTTCTACATGTATTTCAATAAACAAATAATAATAAAATGTCATTGAATGACTTCCACCTCTTACACTGCATTTCCTATAGACATTTTAAACATAATTGTATGTGTTATTCCATATATTTTTCTCTCCCAAAGAATCTCATATAAATAATCAGGTCGCTAAGTTCTCTGGGTATCTCACAAATTTACTCTAAACACAACCAAAACCTTGTATTTGATCCTTGTCCTTATAAATAATCATTTAAACATTTCCATTGTTTCTGAATTATACTATTATTCTGAATTATAATTCTAAATATTTGCATAGTTTATTCAACCATTCTTCTTGGGTTGGGATGTGGTTTCCTTTCCAATGGCTGGCTATCAGCATTCTTGCTGCTGTTGTTGAATACAGGAAAATATTTATTTTCTCTTTCGGGCTGTCTCCATTCAAGATTCCTAATAAATATGATTCTGCTCTTTTGTTGTATGATATTTTTATCAATTTTTTAATTTCCTCATGTATCATATTCCAAAATGTCTTAATTTCAGGGCAGGACCACCACATATGATACAAAGTGCCAGTCGTTCTGTTGCACCTCCAACACTTATTACTACCCAATTTATTCATTTTTGCCAACCTGTCTGGAGACAAATACCATCTGTGGTGCATCTTCATAAAATTTTCTTTTGTCCAAAATTTTTCTTTGTCCAATTTTTTCCCAATCTTTATAATCAATTTTGTAACCTAAATCTTTTCCCACTTTAACATATTTTCCTTTTAATTTCTTGATCTGTTTGTGTATTATTTAATAGTTTATATATTTTGTGAGTATTTTTGATTATTTTGTAAAACTTCTTTATCTAACCTTGATGTTTTGTTTTCAAATCCTCTACACTTTATATCTTTCTCAAATGTCGCTTTCAATTGAAAATATTCCAGTCAATTTATTCCCGTCTTTTTTAATTCTTCATACTCTTTTAATTTAGGATTTTCATTCACTTCTTCCACCAACTCTTTCTAGATTAGCCACAATTTTTTTTGCATTATTTTAAAGTGTGGAGTTTGCCTCTACTGAGGAGGTCCACCACAGAGTTTTTTCTATAATTTTCTCCTTTGTTCTCTCCCATACTTCAAACAAGGCCTTTCTCACTAAATGATTTGTAAATCTTTTATGTACTTGTATTTTCCCATAAAATAAATAGCCACGCCATCCATAAATTTTATCCCAACCTTCCTATTCCAAAACCTCCCTATTTTTAAGTAACACCCACTCTTTCAACCAGCTCCAACATGCATCTTCGTAGTATCTTCTTAAATCAGGAACTGCAAAGCCTCCTGTTTTTTTTTACCCCATCATTATTTCTGATTTTATTTATTTGGTCTCTTTTCTATTCCCTGTTTCATGCCTTTTGGCCCAGAACAGGGAATACAGTGTGCATATTTGCTATTACTATGCTTAGCAATATATTTTTTTAAAATAAAATAAATCTAAGATATTCCATGGCATACTGTTCTGCTGAGTGCAGACTTGCATGAATAATTATTTTAATAGAAAATAATAATACTAATAATTGAAAAATTGAACTGTAGTACAACAAAGATAAAGGAATTGCTGCAGTCTAAGTTACTTGGTACTAAGTTACTTGGTACAGGAAAT